TTGTTGGGGGAGTGCTCCTTCGGGTACTTGATATACGCCAATGGGATGATTGATTGAATTTTGATCATGTATTCATCTTGATTTGACTTTTGGGATTCCTACTCAGCGTTGCTGAATTTTCTTTGTTTTTGATTTTCAGAGCTATTTGTAATTTGATGAATAAATGAATTGTAATAAATGGTTATAGATGATGAATAAAGTGATGTTTATTTATTTGGCCTGTGTGAAAATATATGAAAAAAAAAATCCAGGATGTGACAATTTTTATGGTATCAGAGCATGGTCTAGGGCCTGTAGGTGTATTAGGTCCCTTGATTGACTTTAACCAATGATTGTCTTTAACCTATTATAGGAGTAATGGAGCCAATTCCAGAGATTAGTGGTCCTGTCACTCGAGGTGCTCATGGTCGCAATGCTACTGGTGTACGCACTCGGAGAGGTGTTCAAACAAACAATAACTTGGAAGCTCCACGCATCGTAGAGCAAACCCAGTCCTCCCATACACCTGTCACTAATTATGGGCCAGCTTCTCCGACTTCGCAGAATGCCCCTCATGCCCCAGCACCCGTCAATGCTCAAGGTGACGTACACGGAGTCCTCAATGCTATTAGAGGATACTTTGAGCGTCAAGAGGAACGAGATGAAATTCCACGGGGTAGGAATAATACTTTAGATCACTTTAAGAGATTGGGACCACCGGTTTTTGAAGGCAAGCCAGATCCAATCTTTGCTGAACGTTGGATTCGTCAAGTGGAAAAGACATTCGAAGCTATCGAATGTAGGGAAAATCATAAAGTGCCTTTTGCTTCTTTCATTTTGGAAGGGAAGGCAGACACTTGGTGGACCTAAAAAAGGAGGATGTTAGAGGCTGGAGGTAATGTGGTAACTTGGGAGCAGTTTAAATATGCATTTTATGAGCAGTTCTTTCCTGACTCAGTTCGCTTTGAGAAACAAGAAGAGTTCCTTAGCATCCACCAAGGAAATAGAACTGTAATGGAATATGATCATCATTTCACTGAGTTGGCTCAGTTCTCTCCACATATTGCTTTTAATGAAAGTCAAAGAGCTCGTCATTTTGAGAGGGGACTTCGATCATCAATTAGAAAGTCTGTGGCAGTACTGATTTTACCAACATATGCTGAAGTGTTAAATCGAGCTTTGGTGGTAGAGAAATTGGATAATGAATTACAACAAGCAAAGGATCGAAAGCGACCTTTTAGTGCTACACCATTTACATATGCGGGATCACATTCTGAACCCTCAAAGAAAGGAAAAGGCAAACAGTTCGGGCATCAACAAGCGGGAGCTCCTAGCAATCAAGTTATTATAAGATGTTATTTATGTGGGAAGACAGATAATGTTTCCACCTCATGCCCCATGGGACAACGCGTATGTTTTTATTGTCAACAACCGGGGCACATGTCGAAGGATTGCCCACGGAAGCAATATCAACGCCGAGCTCCACCCCAAACAATTGGACAACAACAGCTACGACCCAGAGATGAAGGACAGGCAAGAGTCTATGCACTGACTCATCAAGATGCTGAAGCCTCGGGATCTATTATTAAAGGTATCATCACACTCTGTGGTATGCCAGCATCTGTGCTTATTGATTCTGGTTCTACACATTCTTTTATATCACCCTATTTTGCTATGAAATTACATAAGAATCGTGAGACAATGAATAATGCATTAATGGTAGTAACACCGGTTGGAAATTCTTTGATAGTTGATCAGATATATAGAAACTGTGTTATTACTATTGAAAGTCACGATTTGCTAGTAGATCTTATTCTATTAGAATTTCAAGATTTCGACGCTATCTTGGGTATGGACTGGCTTTCAGCATACCATGCAAGTGTCGATTATTTTCGGAAGACTATTGCTTTCTCACCTCTAGATCAACCACCTTTCAAGTTTATTGGGATTCAAGAAAAGTTCCCTTCTATTATTTCAGCCTTAGAGTGCTACCCAACTATTACTGAAAGGATGTCAGGGATACTTGGCCTTTATTTCTGGAGAAGAATCTAAGAAGCCAGTATTAAAGGACATCCCCATTGTACGGGATTTTCCAGATGTTTTTCCTGAAGATCTACTTA